GGCCCCGGGCTCCCGGCGTGGGAAGAGACGGCGGGGCGGCGGCGGCGGCGGCGCCATGGAGCCACGGGAGGTGAAGGACCGGATCCTGGAGAACATCTCGCTGTCGGTGAAGAAGGTGAGCACGGCCGCGGCGCCCAGGGCTGTGGGGCCCGGGCTCTCAACCCCTCTCCTCTCAAAGTCCGTGCCCGAGTCGGGAGGTTTCTCCGGCCAACGGAGCTCGGGGACACCGCCCTTCCCCTCCGCGACCCTGGAGGCGAGAAGCCGCCGGGAGCCCCGGGTCGATGGAGGGGAAGCGGGGCCACTCACGTGAGCGCCGCGGCCTCCGAGCTATTTTTAAAGAACAAAGTTAAGGTCAGCATCTTCAGCCCTTCCAAAAGCCAGGCCCGTGGACTCCGCCTTACCGGCGAGGAGCGAGTAACCCATCAGTGCCCCCCACTCAACCAACAGCACCTCCAGAAAAGCTCCTAGGGGGACTCCAACTGACAGCGCATCCCTGGGCGGAATCCACCGGAATCCTGGGAATTCCTCCGGCTAGCAGCTCGGTGGAGGCAGGTTCGCCCAGCACTGAGTTCTGGAGGTATTGCCTTTGGTCCTGGGAAGTTCCCTGGTTAATCCTGCACAAGGATGGCAATTTTGAAGAAGCTTGTTTCAGACTTTTACTTGGGAATCTAAAGTACTTGGGATTTGCATTTTTTATGGCGATCTGTGGAACTTGGTGACACCACAGACACTGTGCTTGCTATGTGGGGCTTGCTGCAGTAGAGCACCTATCTAAATGCAGGAAGCAGTGCTCAGGGCATGTAAGTGTTTTTGTGATAAAGCTGGCTTGTCTGAAATTGTTTATGCTTGAAGGTAGAATTCATATTCACTTAAAACCCAAATGGCCAAACCAATTGAAAGTCATATACAGAATGCTGAAAAATGACGCAGAGGTGCAAAGAAGACTCCTAGTTGATAATGTTATTACTCCAGCGAACCAAAATGAAGACAATTACACCACCATTATATTTAAGTAATTGTCCTTTTTCTCTGTTAAATTCCTCAAAAGTAATACAGGTTTGCAATTTTGCATTTCGTATAGATCCAAAGAACGCTTACCAGAAGGTTCTGAAAGCACAACTTAAAGAGACATTGCAGAGATCTGACGAGAGTTTTGTTTGTTTACCTTTCCTAAGTTTGCTAATGCAATAGGTTATAGTTTTTGCTTATTCAAAAAGCGCAGGATGAGCAAATACTTTGTGTAAAAGCAATGTATCTTTCGTAATGGAAGAGAAAGGAAGACTGTTGACCTTTCTAATCTAATCTGGGCTGATTGTGGCTTCAGGTAGGTCAAGAATTTTGTCTTTGGGTTCCAAACAGTTAATATGGAGTAAGTCCCTGATGGAGAGGTGGCAGAGGTGAGCCCTGTGTAGTAAGCACAGCTATTTTTAAGACTGATCCATTCTGCAAAAGACTCTTGTTTATGAAAGAGTTGGGTATATTTGTCAGAATACTTGTAATTGCCAGTGTTTACTCAAGCACGTTTTATTGAACTATAATGCACTTAAGAAATACAGGTATAATTGTACACTAGAAACTGGAAACCAAAGGTAAAACAAGCATCTTTGTTAAGAACATGGATTCTGGAATCTGATTGCCTGAATTGAATCCTGCTCTGCTGATTGTTGTTGTTGTTGTTGTTGTTGTTATGTGCTGTGCAGTTGATTCCGACTCAGCGACCCTGTACAGGGTTTCCAAGGCTGTAAATCTTTACTGGAGCAGAACGCCTCATCTTTCTCCAGTGGAACAGCTGGTAGTTTCAAACTGCTGACCATGAGATTAGCAGCCCGATTCATAACCACTACACTACTGGAACTCCTTGCTCTGCTGAGTAATACCCTGTAACTCTGGGCAGGTTCCTTAACTTTACCGTGCCTCAGTTTCCTCACTTATAAAACAGGGATAACATTAGGGTTGTTGTAAGGATTACATGAAATTATGTATGTAGAGTGTTTAGCATAATGCCTGACCCAGTCTTAGTAAGTGGCCGCTTTCTTGTTTGTGATAGTGTCAGCCCCTCCTTTTCACAGGGTTTGAAGATGTCTCAAGTTCCACACCATCTAAACACCTTTTCCCAACACCATTTCAATCTGTTAGTCACTTCCTTTGTATGCTGTCTCAGAGTACTATGATATAATTCTTGAATTATGAAATTCATTTGTTTTTCTGAGAGGCTGCGTCTAATAGACATCTGTGAAGTCAGCTCCATAGTAGGCAACAAGGACTAACAGCCATGGGGTTTGTCCTTGATCACAAATCCCACCTACATCTCTTATACGATACATTGAGAATTGCTTTGATTTTGTCTTCCATCCTGGTGTAGCTATGTTGTTGTTGTTGTTAAGTGATGTTAAGTCAGTTCTGACCCATAGCGACCCTGTATAGGGTTTCCAAGGAGCAACTGGTGAGCTTGAACCGCTGATCTTACAGTTCAAACTAGGATTCCTAGTGTGGCGCTGTGGGGTTAATGTGCTAGACTGTAAGATCTGTTTGAACTGCAAGGTCGGCGGTTCAAGCTCACCAGCTGCTCATCGGAAACTCTATACAAGGTCACTATGAGTCAGAACTAACTCAATGGCACTTAACAACAACAACAACCAGTAGTAAGCACTGGACTGCTAACTGCAATTCAGACCCACCAGTCGCTCCTCAGAAACTGTCTAAAGCATTATTGTGAGTTGGAACTGACTCGATGGCACTTACTGGTTCTTTCCTAAGGATGGTGCATGAAGAAAATGAGGTGTATGTTTCTGCAAAGAAAGATCCATTGTGTATTACTGTGTTTGCAACAAGTGTTTTAAAGTTTTTATTGAGCATTTTTCATGCCTATATTTTGTGATGACGAACATGCACTGTACAACTGAAGAGGTAAAGTAGCTATTATCCCACCTGAACCCCGGGGACCCTGTGTTCTCATGTGGAGATCGACTTCTTCGGGATTAGAGAGAATTAGAGTTTAATAATTAACACAAATGCAACAATTAGAAACAAATCCATTTGTTTTTGAAAGGCAGGTGGCAGAAACATCTCAGGTGCAGATAATGAAGCCTGTGCGTGCTGATTTGTTCATTAAAGTGGCCAAGTCAGAGACAGTGTTGGCATTTTGGATTGGCATGTGATTTTACTAAATAGCATCTTCTCCAGGGGCAGAAAGGCAGCAATTTACATGAGAGTTTTGTTTTTGAGGAGCTGTGAAGGTCTTTGTGTGTGTGCCCAAGATGAGCAAAGACTGTGCTGTAAGAAGCAGCATCCATCCTTGGGCAGTTTGAATGTTGGCTGGTGGTTATGTGCTGTGGAGTCGGTTCCGACCCATAACGACCCTGTGCAGGGTTTCCGAGGCTGTATATCTTTACGGGAGCAGAAAGCCTCATCTTTCTCTCATGGAACAGCTGGTAGTTTCGAACTGCTGACCTTGCGGTTCACAGCCCGATGCGTAACCACTACGCTACCAGAGCTCCTTGTTGACTAGGAGCAAAATAAAAACATAACTTTGGCAAGGAGAAGTTCCTCAGCAAAGAGAGGCTCAACTGATCTTGGCAAATGGGTAGAGTTCAGAGAATTAGAAGAATTGGACATTCAAGATAAGAGGAACAGCCAAGTGTCCCTAAGTAATGAGGGGACACCCAGGTGGTCGTCTGAGAACATTAAGGAGACATTTGTACTTGCCAGTCTCAAGAGTTCTGAGGGTTCTGCTGGATGTAACTGGAAATACTTTCTGTGGAAGTTGTAGAGGAGGTAGCACGTGGTTCAGAGTACACAGACCTGGTTCAGGGTTTGAATCCTGAGTCATGACTGACCATCTTGTAAGTTATTGGACTTATTAACCTCAGCAGGAATCCCTGGGTGGCAAAAAAACGATTAAGCACTAGAGTGCTAACCAAAAGTATGGCAGTTGGCGTCCATCCAGACGCACCTCAGAAGAAATGCCTAGTGGTTTACTCTAAGAACATGTTAAAGGAACATGGTTTGAATCCCTTGAGGATACCCAAACTGCCATGTTGACATAGTGTAAACCAAAGAGTGCAGAATTCTTTGGGGAAGGGTTGTTGTTTTTAAGTGCCACCAAGTCAGTTCCAACTCATAGTGACCCTGTATAGAGTTTCTGAGAAGTGGTTAGTGAGTTTGAATTGCCGACCTTGCCCTTCAAACTGACCTTGCAGTTGAGTGTTTATCCTACAGCCCCACACCAGGACTCCTGTGTGGGGAAGGGCTAGAGAGATGGACACATCACCTTCAGAAGTGTGTAGACCTCGATGGAAGATATGTCTATACACTCTACACTTACAGAAGAAACAGTAACTTAACATTTTGGTATTTTTACTTAGTAAAGGTTTCTTTAATTTGTATCAGTGCTTTTTAAAAGACTTACCCCGTGTATGAAGTCCTGGTGTAGTGGTGCGGGTTAATGTGCTGGACCACAGAATCAGTCTGAACTACAAGGTCAGCAGTTCAGACTCACCAGCCGCTTCTAGGAAACCCTTGCTATGGGTCAGAACCAACTCAACTGCACTTAACAGCTATAACAACCTCTGCGTATATGTGTTGGTGTGCACAAAAAGTTCTCACCAAAGTAGGCAGTGGTCACGTTCGGAGAAGTTGCTGTGCCGTACCAGCTCGCTCCTATAACTGTAGTTTTGCACATCCTAAGGAGCTCTGGTAACGTAGTGGTTACAATTTGGGCTGTGAACGCGAGGTCAGCAGTTCGACACTACCAGCTGTTCCACGGGAGAAAGATGAGGCTTTTTGCTCCCGTAAAGATTTACAGCCTCGGAAACCCTATGCAGGGTCACTGTGATTCGGAACCAACTCCACAGCACATCACCACCACCACCATCAGGTCTGTGGAATTCAGATGTTGTTGTCATTGTTAAGTGCTGTCCAGTCTAGTCGGTTCCCACTTACAGTGATCCTATCTAGGGTTTCCGAGGAGCGACTGGTGGGTTTAAACCACTGACCTTGCAGTTCAAACCAACCTTGCGGTCCAGTGTTTATCCTATAGTGCCACACCAGGACGTCATTGTTCTAAGCCCTAGGGATGTAGCAGCAAATGAGGCAAGTCAGGCCTCTGCCCTCACG